GTATCATAATATTTAAGAAAGGTGAAATAAGTGCTGCGTCTGAAACACAGATAGAGAAAAATTGAATAATGGAAAGTGAATTAAGCCAAAACATTACAAGTTTACTAAAAATCTTAACTTTAAAAAAATGCATCCGAAGAACTCGAGGATTGAAAATAAACACAAAAGGCTAATTCTTGAAACTGTACTAAAAAAAAAAAAACATTTTTCAAGTTTCAAGTCTATCTCCCTCCTGTAATATACAGCAGTCCAGCTTGCTCAGGTACTTTCCATACGCCTTGAAAGAGCTTTCCTCTAATTTTGCTCTAAAACGAAAAAAAGCCACATAAAGGTATTTCTTTATTATCAAGGTTCCATCCCGTCTGGCTCTTCAAAAATCTATGCATTTCCCTACCACTACGTTACTTCTGCAGGAACTCATTTCTAGTGCTTGTGCAGTGCAGTAAGAAGTTTCATCTATATAAAGCCAAACCTTTCAGACGAAAGCTGAGTAGAAGTTACATAATATCTTTGAAACCCCCTTTGCAGGTGTATAAAAAAACTCGAGGACTACGCAAACCCGACTAGAAGCATTAAAAAAAAATTTAAGCCAGGTATCATCAACCATAACAGTTTCCACAATCAATACCTATAAAATATCCTAAATTTCAATCTCTACACCAGGAAATGTGCCAATTTTGTGTGCCAAAAAATGTGCCAAAAAAATGGAAAGAACTGTCATTTTTTCGTTCTTCTTTCTCTTTCTGACGTTACCTAATATATTTATGTAGTGAAAAACTGGAATTGTTGTTCAAAAATATCATACTTCTCCAGAAGTAAAACTTATAAAGTAAAATGCATTAATTACGAGTTTGAAAAAACTGAAAGAAAAAGCAGATAAATAAATGTCGGGCTTACCTCCAACACTACCCGCAACTGTTGTATGAATAAAAGCCATAAAAGTCAGAAAGAACGTTAAAATGACAAATGCCATTTGGGAGAAGTCAAATTAAAAACTGTTGAACAAAAACTTTAGATGTAAAACAAAAATTGTCTACATTTTGTTTTTTATTTCAACTTTTAGACCCACCCCAAGAGCACCGAGCACTTGAGAACAACGGCTGTCCGAGAAAAAAACGCTTAATGACAGTCAGCAAAAGCATACCCTTCACAGATCGTATGTTAATCTCGATTAATAATAATAATAAATTTTGTTCGGAACATCAGTGCAAACTGGCAAACTTGTTTAGTGCAAAAACAGAACAGCA